ATTCATTCATTCATTCATTCATTCATTCATTCATTCATTCATTCATTCATTCATTCATTCGATTTTTACCCCACCCCTCTAGACAACGTCTGCATTAAGGAACCACTTAATGAGGGTGAAACAGAGTGCAAAAATGGTCTGAAGCTCCTGGCAAATAGAAGGGGAAGATATGGAAGCAGTGACAGATTTTACTTTCTTGGGCTCCATGATCACTGCAGATGGTGACAGCAGCCATAAAATTAAAAGACCCCTGCTTCTTGGGAGGAAAGTGATGCCAAACCTAGACAGCATTTTAAAAAGCATAGACATCACCTTGCCGACAAAGGTCTGCATAGTCAAAGCTATGGTTTTTCCAGTAGCGATGTATGGAAGTGAGAGCTGGGCCATAAAGAACGCTAACTGGCAAAGAATTGATGCTTTTGAATTGTGGTGTTGGAGGAGGCTCTTGAGAGTCCCTTGGACTGCAAGGAGAACAAACCTATCCATTCTAAAGGAAATCAACCTTGAATGCTCACTGGAAGGACAGATCCTGAAGCTGAGGCTCCAATACTTGGGCCATCTCATGAGAAGAGAAGACTCCTTGGAAAAGACCTTGACGTTAGGAAAGTGTGACGGCAAGAGGAGAAGGGTACGACAGAGGATGAGATGGTTGGACAGTGTCATCGAAGCAACCAACATAAATTTGACCAAACCCCAGGAGCCAGTAGAAGACAGGAGGTCCTGGTGTGCTCTGGTCCATGGGGTCATGAAGAGTCAGACACGATTTAATGACTAAACAACAACAACAATTCTTTTTCTTCTTTTTAGTCAGGTACTCATGTGGATACATAAAACATTTAGAAAACTTGAACTTTGGCATAGTTTTAGAGTGAAATTGATACTGCTGCTTCTGAGGTGCTCAGTGTACACTGGTTACACCAATTTGGAAGACGCTGCAAAAGATTGTGTTTGTGCTGCAAAATCCTTGCAAAATTTTGGAAATGAAAATGAAGATCTTGTATTTTGGGGTATTATCTAGAAACCTCAATTTACAAGTTACATTATTTTGAGGGCAATTAAAACATGGAGTTTGCGCTGCAAAACAATTGCTAAATTTTGAAAGTACCCCTAGTTTCAGGGTTTACAGTTAATAGAACTAGTACAGAGTGTTCCAAGTGGGGAAAAGGAAATTACAAATAAGGTAGCACAGCAGACAGATTTTCTTGCTGGTTGAAATGGAGGGACAATGTTTTTGGTGAAGGGAAAGGAAAAGCATAATACTTTAGAGCAGGGATCAGGGAATTTTTTTACCTTTTACTCCCCCAAAAAATTTATATACGCCGACATTACCCACTTGATTTGAAAGGAAGGAAATCATACATTATTTGAATTCCAAATCTTATTGAATCTATTCAAAATTACTTTGAAAGCTTCAACTGACTTGATAACTTCAGGTTTTGGAGAAATGATGTTGCTTCATATTGGATATGAGAGCATCAATACTGGGGCTCTGATCATCCTCATTGCCCCCAGGATTTTCATTTTTACCCCATTTGGGGTAATCTACCCCTGTTCCCTGACCACTGCTTTAGAGGATAGAGGAGAGGAACAAGGAAAGATTTTTAGAGCATTAGGCACTTGAAAGCATGATCTCTTTTCTTATTCATTTTTCTGATCAGTTATAAAAAGATAACCTTAAACTGAGGCACTTAAAACATTTCGAGACCTAATCACAACAATATACTGAAGCTAATTCACTTGCATAGCTAGATAACAACCCATTAGTCCAATTTGACTGTTTCCCCCAGGCACTGTCAGCTCATTTGAAAGCTTTTGACTGTTCAATGTATAAAGACAGAAAATTTAAATTTAGTTCGATGTGACAGTTGTTTCAAGGCATGCTATTTAGGTTGTTTTCAGAGGAGACTTCTATCAAGTCCCACAAATCACCTGGCTTCAAACACAGACATATAAAGGTGTCAGAACCTGTCCAGATGGGGGCATTTAGAACGGTCTGTTTTGGGCTTAAAAGGTTCTTACCTTCAGTGTGATCTATCTTATCACACACTTGAGCAATCCTTCTATTCTTGCTAGAGATGTTTATTCTCCCATGAGAAATGTCCAGAAAGGTCTTTGTCTCACTGGTTTACTCCTATGTAAGGAGGCAGCAGTAATAGCAGCAGAGGACCTTGGTGGTGGTACTGGTGTGATGGGAAAATATTGAGGGTGGGGACAAGACATAAGGGAGATAACTCCCTCCTTTTCCCCACCTTTCTCCTTAGGCAGGTCTCTGCTGGGGCTGCACTGCCTTGTGGGGGTGGAGGCTATGGCAGTGAGGAAGTGGCAGTGACTCCATCAGCAGACCCTAAAAGCCTGAGCAGGCAACCCAAAGACAGGCACTTTAGTCTTTAGGGGAGAGAGGGAGGGAGAGGGAGAGAGAATTGCTTTTATTTACTTTCCTCCACCACCTCCCACAAACAGCCACTAAGTCAAAATAATGAGGGAAGGGAGACCCATTTGAGGAGGCTGACTCATCCTTCCTTCCTACCAACAAATGGAAAAGTAGGGAGATGGAATGGCTGGCCCTCCACATGCTATTTGACTGCAACTCCTATGAGTCCCAACCAGCATGCCCATCTTAAGGAATAATGGGAAATGTAATGTAGCAACATCTGGAGGGATTATGTTTTCCAACCTTGCTGAGAAGGTGGATCTTAAGGGAAATGTATGTATGGGCAAAATGGCAGTTTTGAAAAGGCAGGGAGTGACCTTGAAGCAAAAGGCTTAACAATGATGCTGATGCAGGAGTTGCCAGAGCAGTGCATCTCTTGCCCACTGGGAGACTTTATATACGTGCCTTCACTATGTTCTGCTTCTATAAATAAGTATTAGAAACACCCAACGTCTCTAGGGATCTATTCTACAAAAGAAAAACAAGGCCTGGAACACCAGGATTTCTTGCTACTTAGGGAAGCAGGGAGGGTGGCCACTGCTATAGCAAAAACAGTTATCAGCTGATCACAGAAATGCAGTCTACAGGTAAAGATGAAGAAAGGAGAAAGCTAAGAGTAAATGTTTCTTACCAGCTGTGTCAGGCTTGGTAGCCTGTATGTGAAAATAGCCACTCTCCATCAGCAATCTGATCAACACCTTTGGCATGAAAGGAAATAGCCTTTCAACATCCTTAGGCTTGAAACCAAACAACCTTGGCAGGTATTTTCCCAACAGAACAGAGAGAAGTACCTTACATCTCATGGAAGGCAATGCTACAAAGTTTAAGTGAAGGCCTTTCACGTGGCTAAATGTAAAAAAAAAATGTTAATAATATTTCATTAAAATCTCACAGGATGTCCCCTTGCTATTGAAATCCATATAGTTAGTCTAACCAGAGCTTCAGCAGTATGCTTTTGCAATTTTGCCACTACCAGGACAGCATACATCTTGAGTCTTAGAGCATCCAGAAAATGCTATTTTAAGAAACCATATGTGCATTTTTTTTCTAGCACATGTGTTTCTTCTAATATGGCTGGCAAGGTGTTTCAGTTTACCATGCTTCCTCTTTCACTGGGACAGTAGAGATCACCATCTGTGTGACTGGCATCTAACTTTCACACAGGCAGAATCCAGAGAGAACATGCCATCTTCCTTTCTGGGGATACCTTCTATGTTCCCACTGGGGGACTAACTTATTTATAGCGGAAGAGCTCATGTGAATGTGCTGCTTGCTCATATTTACAAGTTATGTGATAGCTAAAGTACCTGTTTGTATACATTGCTCATTTCAAACAATTAGTTTGGTAGCATTCCTTGCTGAAAATAAGAACAGCAAACCACACTGGTGAGTTCTGTGGCACAGTGGTTAAACTGCGGCACTGTAGTCAAGCCTCTGCTCATGACCTGTGTTTGATCCCAATGGTACAGATAGCTAAATTAAGGTCGACTTATCCTTCCATCCTTCTGAGGTTGGTAAAATGAGTAACCAATTTACAAGGTGGTGGTGGCAGCTGCAAAGTGTTCCTTGAATAATTGTGTTGTAAACTGCCGAGAGAGTGCTCTAGCAATATGGGGTGATGTACAAGTCAAAAAACAATTTACGGAGTGGTGGTGGCAGCAGCAAAGTGTTCCTTGAATAATTATGTTGTAAACTGCCGAGAGAGTGCTCTAGCAATATGGGGTGATGTACAAGTCAAAAACAACAATAATAATTGCTTATCATGTTAGGCCATGAGATTGTCCTCTGGATAGAAGAACTAGCATGTAGTCATTGCTTGCATGGACAGGGATCAAAAACAACAATAATAATAATTGCTTATCATGTTAGGCCATGAGATTGTCCTCTGGATAGAAGAACTAGCATGTAGTCATTGCTTGCATGGACAGGGCAGAATAAACTAAAAAGTTGCAGGATGGCTTCCTTACAATACAAACCTCACAAGGAATATCAGTCCTTTTATGGTGCATTTTTCTTGGGAAATTTTTTCTCCTTTTCCCCTTTTTCCTAACAAGCTGTCTTATTTGTACCTTATAAATGCATCTGCCATATGTGCAATGGCTAAATGTGTCTTGCTCTCAGGAGAGCACTATATCAGGACATGGCTGTAAGTAGCGTTCCAGCCTCCAAACATCTCCCCATGGAGGCATATCTAGAGATTCTGTAAAACCTTTGCTCGGGGAGCTGACTCCTGAAGAGGAAATGGGAGACGTTTCCTCTTGGGAGAGGGCACTCTAGGAAAGGAGCAGAGACATACTTCTCCAGCTGATAATCTTATTGCTAAATAGAACAGAGTACACATTCCCACCCTCCTGCTTCATTTTAAGTTCATTTTGAGCAAGACCTCTTGGGAGAGGGCACTCCAGGAAAGGAGCAGAGACGTACTTCTCCAGCTGATAATCCCTCCTGCCCTCTTGCTTCATTTTAAGTTCATTTTGAGCAAGAGCATCAAAAGCAAGGAAAGAATCTACCAATTTGGAAAATGAAGACTGCTGCTTCTTAAAGATAAACATTTTAGTTCAGCAACAGTGCACGGCTTACTTTAGATGCTTTTTGAATTATAATTATTATTACTGACAGAGGAGAACATATCAATGACTTCACCAGACACATGAAAAATCTGGCAATTTTTTTTTCTGGGGTGGGGGGAGAAACCACTGGGGTCCAAATTGTAATGTGCAAGGGATGCATAGTCTCTTCCTTCCAGACAGAGGGTTCCTGCTAGTCACAAGGCAAACGTTGTTCTGCCTTTCTTCTCTGAGAAAGAAGCGAGACAGAAGAAACAAAGGGGAAGAAATGGGATCACTGCAAACTGAATTCAAGACTGTCCGGCACAGCCATTGTCTGTGCAGTGTCGATTGCACAATAAATTCCTCTTCCAGAATCAACCCACCCCCCAAAAAGAAAACACGTGGTAATTACATTTCAGAACCCAGAATCTGATATTGTAGGATTACTAGGCTTTCTTCTATAATATAAAATTAGAGTTAAAATTCCTGAGTAAAAAAATGAACTATTGTTAATTCCTGTTTAGATCAGCAAAGTGTTCAGTTTAGAGGTGAGTATTATTATTATTATTAGTTTTATTTATATGCCACATTTCTCCCAACAAGGGACCTAAAGTGGCTAACAACATTAAAATTCACACAATTTAAAATCACAGTAAGTTAAATATTAAAAGATAAATTAAATAATATATGATTTAAAATACAATTAAAAGATTAAAGCAGTAAAACATGGAAAAGATTTAAATTATTTGCTAAAATGGGGTTCAGAGACTCAGTTATAAGTGTTAAAAGCCTAACTAAAGAGGTGGGTCTTTAGCCTTTTTCAGAGGGATAAAAGGGAAAGGGCCATCCTGATCTCCCAAAGGAGAGTGTTAAATAGCCTGGGAGCTGCCACAGAGAAGGCCCTCTCCCGTGTCCCCACCAGCTGTGCTTGTGCTGGCAATGGGACCGAGAGGAGGGCCTCCTCTGATTATCTTAACTGCCAAGAAGGCACATATAGGGAGATACGGTCCTTCAGGTAGCCTGGACCCAAGCTGTATAGGGCTTTATAGGTAATGACCAGCACTTTGAACTAGGCTCAGAAACGGACTGGTAGCCAGTGCAGTTCTTAGGTGCATTATATGCTCCCTGTAGCTGGCTCCAGTCAGTAGTCTAGCTGCAGAGCTTTGCACCAGCTGAAGTTTATTTATGTATTTATTTATTTGTATTCGCGAAGGCTTTCACGGCCGGGATCCAATGGTTGTTGTGGGTTTTTCGGGCTTCTTGGCCGTGTTCTGAAAGTGGTTCTTCCTAACGTTTCGCCAGTCTCTGTGGCCGG